TGACGTCACCCACTAGCATGATGATGTCGCCCACTAACATGATGACGTCACTCACTTACATGATGACTTCACCCACTAACATGATGACATCACCCACTAACATGATGACTTCACTCACTAACATGATGACTTCACCCACTAACATGATGACGTCGCCAACTAACATGATGATGTCGCCCACTAACATGATGACGTCACCCACTAACATGATGACGCCACCCACTAACATGATGACGTCACCCACTAACATGATGACGTCACCCACTAACATGATGACGTCATCCACTAACATGATGACGTCACCCACTAGCATGATGATGTCGCCCACTAACATGATGACGTCACCCACGAGCATGATGATGTCGCCCACTAACATGATGACGTCACTCACTTACATGATGACTTCACCCACTAACATGATGACTTCACCCACTAACATGATGACTTCACCCACTAACATGATGACTTCACCCACTAACATGATGACGTCGCCAACTAACATGATGATGTCGCCCACTAACATGATGACGTCACCCACTAACATGATGACGCCACCCACTAACATGATGACGTCACCCACTAACATGATGACGTCACCCACTAACATGATGACGTCACCCACTAACATGATGACGTCACCCACTAACATGATGACGTCACCCACTAACATGATGACGTCACCCACTAACATGATGACGTCACCCACTAACATGATGACGTCACCCACTAACATGATGACGTCACCCACTAACATGATGACGTCACCACACTAACATCAACACGTTACCACACTAACATCAACACGTCATCACACTAACATCAACACGTCACCACACTAACATCAACACGTCACCACACTAACATCAACACGTCACCACACTAACATCAACACGTCACCACACTAACATCAACACGTCACCACACTAACATCAACACGTCACCACACTAACATCAACACGTCACCACACTAACATCAACACGTCACCACACTAACATCAACACGTCACCACACTAACATCAATACGTCATCACACTAACATCAACACGTCACCACACTAACATCAACACGTCACCACACTAACATCAACACGTCACCACACTAACATCAACACGTCACCACACTAACATCAACACGTCACCACACTAACATCAACACGTCACCACACTAACATCAACACGTCACCACACTAACATCAACACGTCACCACACTAACATCAACACGTCACCACACTAACATCAACACGTCACCACACTAACATCAACACGTCACCACACTAACATCAACACGTCACCACACTAACATCAACACGTCACCACACTAACATCAACACGTCACCACACTAACATCAACACGTCACCACACTAACATCAACACGTCACCACACTAACATCAACACGTCACCACACTAACATCAACACGTCACCACACTAACATCAACACGTCACCACACTAACATCAACACGTCACCACACTAACATCAACACGTCACCACACTAACATCAACACGTCACCACACTAACATCAACACGTCATGTAAGGTTTAAGGGAAAGGTCAAAGGTCATCCACTTAAGCCAAAAAATATTAGTGTTGGATAAAAACAAGGACTTGAAATTGTCTTGTTTGACTCTACAACCAGGATATATTCCTAAGAGTATACCCACATATAAGGTTATATGTGGCATATTTCTCTGAGTATATTTCCCCCCCCCCCCCATCCTCCGCTGGTTATATTTTTTCAAGGACCTTTTTTCTGGCTCGTTTTTCTACCTCAGATATTTTAACAATATATATATTACCCAGGATATATTCCCTGGATATATTCCCTGGATATATTCCCTGGATATATTCCCTGGATATATTCCCCAGGATATATTCCCTGGATATATTCCCTGGATATATTCCCCAGGATATATTCCCTGGATATATTCCCCAGGATATATTCCCTGGATATATTCCCCAGGATATATTCCCTGGATATATTCCCTGGATATATTCCCCAGGATATATTCCCTGGATATATTCCCTGGATATATTCCCCAGGATATATTCCCTGGATATATTCCCTGGATATATTCCCCAAGATATATTCCCTGGATATATTCCCTGGATATATTCCCCAGGATATATTCCCTGGATATATTCCCTAGGATATATTCCCTGGATATATTGCCCTGGATATATTCCCTGGATATATTGCCCTGGATATATTCCCTGGATATATTCCCCAGGATATATTCCCTGGGATATATTCCTTCTGGTTCGGAAAGTCGACGTTGCTTTGCAACATCTCGACAATGCTGACCAGACCACACACTAGAAGGGACGACGACGTTTCGGTCCGTCCTGGACCATTCTCAAGTTGATTGTGACTTGACAATCCTGAACATATAACAGGCGCTTGACAATCGACTTGAGAATGGTCCAGGACGGACCGAAACGTCGTCGTCCCTTCACCTTCAAGCGTGTGGTCTGGTCAACATACTTTAGCCCCGTTATTGTGACTTCATCGCCTGCATCATTCTGAAATGTGATGCAAGGAAATAAAACACCTCATTATCTCGAACATCTCGACGATTTCGACGAAACCGACCGCCACTTGACAGCTTCAACGGACACTTGACAGCTTCAACGGACACTTGACAGCTTCAACGGACACTTGACAGCTTCAACGAACACTTGACAGCTTCAACGGACACTTGACAGCTTCAACGGACACTTGACAGCTTCAACGAACACTTGACAGCTTCAACGGACACTTGACGGCTTCAATGGACACTTGATAGCTTCAACGAACACTTGACAGCTTCAACGGACACTTGACAGCTTCAACGAACACTTGACAGCTTCAACGGACACTTGACGGCTTCAATGGACACTTGATAGCTTCAACGGACACTTGACGGCTTCAACAGTCACTTGACGGCTTCAACGGACACTTGACAGCTTCAACGGACACTTGACAGCTTCAACGGACACTTGACAGCTTCAACGAACACTTGACAGCTTCAACGGACACTTGACAGCTTCAACGGACACTTGACAGCTTCAACGAACACTTGACAGCTTCAACGGACACTTGACGGCTTCAATGGACACTTGATAGCTTCAACGAACACTTGACAGCTTCAACGGACACTTGACAGCTTCAACGAACACTTGACAGCTTCAACGGACACTTGACGGCTTCAATGGACACTTGATAGCTTCAACGGACACTTGACGGCTTCAACAGTCACTTGACGGCTTCAACGGACACTTGACTGCTTCATTGGACACTTGACGGTTTCAACTTACACTTGACGGCTTAAACGAACACTTGACGGCTTCAACGGACACATGACTGCTTTAACGGACACTTGACGGCTTCAACGGAAACTTGACTGCTTCAACGGCCATTTGATGGCTTCAACGGACACTTGATGGCTTCAAGGGACACTTGAAAGCTTCAACGGACACTTGACGGCTTCAAAGGACACTTGACAGCTTCAACGGACACTTGACGGCTTCAATGGACACTTGATAGCTTCAACGGATACTTGACGGCTTCAACAGTCACTTGACGGCTTCAACGGACACTTGACTGCTTCACTGGACACTTGACGGCTTCAATAGACATTTGACGGCTTCAACGAACACGTGACTGCTTCAATGGACACTTGACGGATTCAACGGACACTTGACGGCTTCAATGGACACTTGACTGCTTCAACGAACACTTGACAGCTTCAACGGACACTTGACAGCTTCAACGAACATTTGACAGCTTCAACGGACACTTGACGGCTTCAACGGACACTTGACGGCTTCAACGGACACTTGACGGCTTCAATGGACACGTGATAGCTTCAACGGACACTTGACGGCATAATTGGACACTTGACGGTTTCAACAGTCACTTGACGGCTTCAACGGACACTTGACTGCTTCATTGGACACTTGACGGTTTCAACGGACACTTGACGGCTTCAACAGTCACTTGACGGCTTCAACGGACACTTGACGGCTTCATTGGACACTTGACGGTTTCAACGGACACTTGACGGCTTCAATGAACACTTGACGGCTTCAATGAACACTTGACGGCTTCAACGCACATATGACTGCTTCAATGGACACTTAACGGCTTCAACGGAAACTTGACTGCTTCAACGGACATTTGACGGTTTCAACGGACATTTGACGGCTTAAAGGGACACTTGACAGCTTCAATGGACACTTGACGGCTTCAACGGACGCTTGACAGCTTCAATGGACACTTGACAGCTTCAACGGACGCTTGACGGCTTCAACGGACACATGACTGCTTCAACGGACACTTGACAGCTTCAACGGACACTTGACAGCTTCAACGGACACTTGACGGTTTCAATAGACATTTGACGGCTTCAACGGACACGTGACTGCTTCAGTGGACACTTGACGTATTCAACGGACACTTGACGGCTTTAACAGCAACTTGACAGCCTCACCGGACACCCCGTGCACTCAACAATCACTGGACGGCTGGGGGAGCCAGCTCCCGCCTCGCCCAACCAGTTATATCAAAATGTGGAATTTAATTAATAATACAAGTGAGGCTTCAGTGGGGTTATACGATATAGTAATTGAACTAATTATATTTTATCACGGCGACGCCCAGTTTATGGTGCAGTGTGGTGGATCACCAGGTGTTATGGTGTAGTGTGGTGGATCACCAGGTGTTATGGTGCAGTGTGGTGGATCACCAGGTGTTATGGTGTAGTGTGGTGGATCACCAGGTGTTATGGTGTAGTGTGGTGGATCACCAGGTGTTATGGTGTAGTGTGGTGGATCACTAGGTGTTATGGTGTAGTGTGGTGGATCACCAGGTGTTATGGTGTAAGTGTGGTGGATCACCAGGTGTTATTGTGTAGTGTGGTGGATCACCAGGTGTTATGGTGTAGTGTGGTGGATCACCAGGTGTTATGGTGTAGTGTGGTGGATCACCAGGTGTTATGGTGTAGTGTGGTGGATCACCA